CTCTAAGCTTCCCACATTTCCCCAAGCTTCGCACAGTGCTCCCAGCCCTCCAGTGCCCCAGCAATGCCCCCTGCTTACTACAGTGCCTTCCAGCCCCACAGTGCCCCCAGCTTCCTGCAGTGTCCCAGCAATCCACAGTGCCCCCAGCCCTCCAAATTACCCAAAGTGTCATGCAGTGCCACCCCCCAGCCCTCCGTGTCCCCCATCCCCCTGCAGTGTGTACTGATGACTGACATTAGGGGAATATTTGCTCCCATGGACTCTGAGTTGTGTACACTACGCTGCACATTACATCATTTGTATCACGTCACATCACTCTGATCATATTAGGCCCCATTCACACTGAGCGACATGAAAATCGTGCGATATTGAGCCACATCGCGCAACTTTTTCCTATTGGGCTGTATGCAATCAGGAGCAAAATCGGTCGAAATCGCTTGAAAAAAGGGTCATGTAGGAGCGACAAACTACCAGCGACGAGCTACAAGCGATATTGAGCGACGAGATGTGAACAGCTCCATTGAAATGGATTGGAGAAGCTACATAGAGCGATATCGCGTGGAAATATGAGCGATATCGCTGCAAAAATCGCGCGATAAATCGCTCAGTGTGAATAGGGCCTTAGGCCCCGTTCATGTCGCGCGATATCGCGCAAATGCTTGCATTGAGCAAGCGAGAATCGCGGCAAAATCCGCTCCAAAAAGGGTCCTGCTGTAGCGACACACGACCCGCGACAGCAGGACCCTTTGCTCCATTGAAATTCATTGAAGAGCGATATCGCGGGAATTACTGCGCGATAAATCGCTTAATGTGAACGGGGCCTTATACTGTAGACGGCTGTACAATGTATGATGATGTTTTGTATGTTACATACAGCGGACCTCTGCTCTGTACATATGCTGCTGCTTCATATTCTGAGCCCAGTAACACGAGCAATGTAAGAGGCTGGGAATGTTTGTGTCAGTCTGGTGATTGTGTCTCTGCGGAAGTTTCCGGTGTGTCAGTCTGGTGATTGTGTCTCTGCGGAAGTTTCCGGGGTGTCAGTCTGGTGATTGTGTCTCTGCGGAAGTTTCCGGGGGGTCAGTACAGTACGTATGGTGTCTCTGAGGAATTGTTTCTAGTTGTGATTGCTGTAATTTGGTCTCGGGGAGATCCTGGACACAGAATAGCGGATGTGCAGGAAGAAGCAGATTATTGTACATTTATAGTATTAAACAATTCATATCCCTGTTACATAATGTCTGACATGTCTCTTATCTGTGTGTGATCATTGTCATATGATAAAAATAAAACCCCCCCCAAAATCTTACAGAACTCAAAGAAAAACCCCTTAGCGTTATTACAAGCACCTTGGGGGGAATTGATGAAAACTGGAGCAGACAAAATCTGGAGCTGCTGTGCATGGCGACCAATCAGCTTCTCTCTTCAGTTTGTTCAGTTAAGATTTGAAAATGAAAGAGAGAAGCTGATTTGTTGCCATGACAACTGCTCCAGATTTTGTCTGCTCCAGTTTTGATAAATTCCCCCCATTGAGTCTTCAAAACTCTCATAAACCTCCTCAAACCACCTAAAAGCTGAAGTTTAATCTGCTTCTCTAGCTCCTCCCTCCCCCTCATTAACATTCTAATGACATTTCTAACAAAACAATTGTTTATATTACAGTAACTTGTTACCTTATACTATTTATTGTAATTATCTTCTTTTGGAACCAATGATGTCACTGGGTCTCTGTGCTTCTCTATGCAAAACATGCAGATCATGAATAGTGGGAGGGGCCAAACAGCTGCTGTACATGGTGTCCCAAAAACATCACAGCACCCCACCTCAGTACCCCTCTCAAGAGGCTTAATCCTGATGCATGCAGTGGGGGACTCTTGAGAGGCGTCATACAAATATTCCAATTGATTGAGAAGCTCACAGTGTGCAGTGAAATCAGAATAAACAATTACAATAGAAGGGAGAAGCCGGTACAGCTGTGTAGGACTGAGGGTCAGACGGGAGTTCTGCTCTAATTGCAGCTTCCTCATTGACCCCAATACATTTGGTGACATCTTTTACTGTCACTCATTGTTACCACCACTAGAGGGAGCTCTTGGGGGAGGGGAGATGGCTGAACATTCCGGCAAAGTCAGAACCCCCCCAACCTCCCCAGAGTACATCTAATGGTGTCCAGGAATATATTCTTCTGCATGAGAGCGGGATGTCAGCACAAGCCTGGAGATCACACTGAGGGAAGCTCTCTGACCTGTACATATAAAGTATAGAGTCCATTTCATTATTTGTGCCGCCTGCAGGGACAGCAACACCTGAAGGACCTGAATGTAAATCACAGTTATCTCTAATGTTATATCTGTATTTATTCTGTAATTATAATAAAACAAACATTTCCATGAACTCCTCTTCTTATCTGATCATTCAGTGACCTCATCAATAAATGGAAGAAGAGTTTCCTCCGGGGGTCACACATAAGGCCGTGCTGGGCTCTTGTAGCTCTGTAAGGTCAGAGACCCCACAGACACTGGACCAATACTATCACTGCTACGTGTCTGACAGACATCCCAGAGATCCCATTCTGCTGCCTCTACTCATCTGTTCATTCTGTGCCGTCATCCAATGTGATCACATCAATACATAGAAAGTTCTCATATAATAGAAGACAAGTAACACCAATAATCAGTCATTTCTCTGGGAGATTGCTGATCATTCCAGTTTAACACAGAAATGGGATTATTCATAGTTATTCTTTACCTCAAACTCCTGATGTTGTGAAGAGCCGGTGCAAGTTTCCTCAATCCATCACTCGGAATATAACATGAACTTAGATCTACTTCTTGTGTCTCTCTGCAGGATTGAAGGATAGAAGACAGCACAGAGCAGTCCAGAGGGCTGAGGAGGACACCAGAAAAGTCAACTTTGTTTGATCCAACACATTGTGACACCAGAGCCTTATTCCTGCTCTCATGGAGATAGTAGAAGACATTAAGAAGATCTCTCTTGTTTCCTTGTTCTTTTCCCATCTTCTGCTGGATCCAGGTGATGACATGTCTGGCCGTCGGAGTAGACAATTCTCCCACATGAGACTTTAACATGGATCTAGTAGAAGAGTCTGAGAGACCACAGAGGAAACGAATAAATATTTCAGCACGGCCGTCATCGTGAGATTCAGCATCATCAAGTGTTTCCTGTAATCTGTCCGGATTATAGTTCATGAAATGGACTAAAGCAGCAAAAAACTCCTGAAGAGTGAGATGTAAGAAGGTGTAATCCACATCAGGAGGCTGACCAGATTCTATCATGAAACATGAAAAGAGATGTTTATCATTTCTCACACTGAATGAGTCCAGATGACGCTCATCAAATACAATCATGTGATTCATGACTCCATGTTCTGCCATCCATCCAATAGATGTCAGCACTTCCCGGGCAGGGTGACCACCATCTTTATTCTGGCTGTGATTGGCCAGCATGTTGGAGACATAAATCACAAAGAGTTGTGTCACTGTTTTGGGCAATGATGTCATCAGCTGACCAGTGATTGTTGGTTGGCCTCTGAAGCACATTGATAACACTGTACAAATGATCCAGCAGTATGATGGGATATAACAGAAAGTGTACAGCGTGTCATTCTCCTTCACATAATGAAAAGCCTTTCCTGATAATTCCTCATTTCCAAAGAAATTTCTGAAGAAGATCAGTCTGTCTCTGGGGAGAAATCCCATGATGTCCACTATTCTCTGGAAGACATGAGTATCAACTGAGGCCAGTCTGGTTGGGCGGCTGGTGATCAGTACAGAGCAACCCTGAAGAAGACTCTGCCTCACCAAACTGACCACAATCTCACCAACCTCTGTTCTCTGTTTTGGATTGGACAGTTTACATGATGTGAACTCCATTTGGTGAACACTTTCATCTAAGCCATCAAATATAAACATCAATCTCTCTGGATGATGTAATATATCTCCAATCTGAGTCCTCAGATACGGATATTGTTGAAGAATCATCCCCTCCAAGCTGACCTCTCCCAGTCTATTAAGGTCCCGGAATCTGAAGAAGAAGACAAAAGCAAATCTCTGGTAGTGTTTTCCGGTCACCCAGTCATTGACAAACTTCTGTATCAGTGTGGTCTTCCCTATTCCTGGCACTCCGCTCACCATTACTGCATGTGGTGCACATTGTGACTGGGGGCTCCAGCGGAACAGTCTGTTGGGGGAAATATGTTCCAGTCCAGATTGTGTTTTCTTCAAGCATTCCTCATGTCTCACCCCGGTCTGTATTATCTCATTCTGGGGACGTTCCCTGAACTGATCTGTGGAGACTACAACCAGGTTCACATAACGCTCATTGATGAGGAATCTTTGTGATTCCAGGGTAGTTCCTGGGGGTCTGTGCTCCTCTAGAGTCTCAGTCCTCTCCATCAGATGTTGTTTGTGCTTCATCTGAATTTCTGGGAAGAAATAAAAACGAGTGACTTAGGTAAAAACAGACGTTTGAAGCACGATGTTTCATCTATAATTTCTTTCTGCAGTTTTTAAAATAATAGATTTTTCTATACAATCTTATTTCCATTTTGTAAAATCCCCTAATACCCTAAAACCTCTGAGCTGCCGCAGTGTCAGTATAATCAGAGATTTCATAGTCAATGGAAAATTATAAATCAATTTGCAGAAATAAACATCTAATAAAAAAACAAATAACTGTGCTAATAAATTCCAGTGACTACACTCATCCCCACAACTTCTCAGTGCCAGACAGGGCCGCCATCAGGGGGGTACGGCCAATACTCATGTAAGGGGCCCGCCCGGGACCCATACAAGAGTATCGGCCGATGGTGAAGGGCGAGGAGGCGGCTGGGCCCCCGCAGCAGCGGAGGCCTGGCCCTAGCAGCGCAGGGCCCCAGCATTGCCGCTCCAGCTGCTTCGAGACAAGCCGGGGCCCCATCATGACGCTGCTCGTCTGAATGCGGAAGTGATGTCACGTTGGTGACGTAATGTCATTTCTGGTCAGTCCAGCGGGTTGGGTGTGCAGGTCAGTGGCAAATCCGAGAGGGGGGAGACGCTGCCGTCCTGAAACTGACAGGAGGATAGCAGCTCCGCTCTCCTCTCCGCCTGCCGTTCGATCATCGTGATCGAGGCAGGCGGGG